CGTGAGTACGATGTCAACATACAACAGTAAATAGGCGATGTTATGTCCCTTTTTGTAGACAAATAGGGAAGTGTCACTAACGGTACTCCGAAAACCACACTTAGTAATGTAGGTAGCAAATCTGTCATACCATGCCCTAGGGGCCTGTTTAAGCCCATAAAGAGACTTGCGTAACGTGCATACATTATTAGGATGAGTGGTATCGGTAAATCCCGGAGGTTGAAACATATATACTGTTTCATTTAAGTCCCCGTGAAGAAATACATTTTTAACGTCGAGTTAGTGAATTGACCAACCCCAGGAGACAGCTAGACTGAACACCGTTTGATTGTGGTCGGTTTGACTACGGGACTAAACGTTTCATCACAGTCGATTCCAACCTGTTGACATTTCCTGTTAACAACTAACCGGGCCTTGTATCACTGTAAGGTGCCATTTGCGTTAAAACTTGTGAGGAAACAACCATATGCACCGAATAATGTTTGCATCATAGGGGGCCGAGGTACCAAGTCCCACGTTTGATTGTCCATTAGAGCTCGATATTCTTCGGTCATGGAGTCTTGCCAATGTGGATCGGAAAGGGCTTTGATGTGGGAAGTTGGTATGGGAGATATTGTAGTTGCGGCAGTAGTTTGTAGGTTAACAGGAGTTTGGGATCTGGATGCTCGGGAGCGGGTTATAATGGGGTGGGTTGATGCGGGTGGTGGTGGCGGCGGGGGAGGTGGTGGAGGCTGTGGTGTTGGGTTTGTAGTAGGTGAGGAGGGGGGGGGGGGGTTATGCTGACCCGTGGTTGTGTATTTTGGCAGTGGTAGGTATGGATAAGAGGGGGCTGTTGAAGAATGGTAGACGGGGAAGTGTTTTGGGCAGAAGAGTTTTGGGTAGTTGGCAGGGGAGTAGGTTGTAAAGTGGCTAGTGGGTCAAAGATTATAGGAGATGGGTCAGACTCGAGGAATGAGTAGTCTAAGGTTGCAGTGGGATGATCTTCAGAAAATGGAAAAGATGTCTCGTCAAAAGTGACGTGACGAGAGAGGACCTTGCCGGAAGAAAGGTCAAGGCATCGATACCCGCAAAAATTGGCGGGGTACCTAAGATACAATGAGTGGACCGGTGTTCCAACTTGTTTTTCCATGTCGCGGTTGTGTTAGGATAACACGCACACCCGAAAACCCGTAGGTGGTCATAGGAAGGTTGTCGATGATAAAGAGCAGTCATAGGGGTGGTGAATTTTAAGAGTTTGGTGGGGAGAATGTTGTGGAGATAACACGCGGTATGTAATGCTTCAACCCAGAAATGGGGTGGGAGAGATGCGTGTGTGAGAAGAGTGAGTATGATCTCGTTAAGTCTACGAATCATACGCTCGGATTTCCCATTTTGTTGGGAAGTGTGAGGGCAAGAGAAGCGGAAGAGTAGACCGTTTGTTTCAGCAAAAGATTTGAAATTTTGGTTATCGAATTTACCCCCTAAGTTACATTCAAAAGCTTTAATTGTGAGATTGAATTGAGTTTGGATGTATTTATGAAACTGAGAGAATTTGGAAAATGTTTCAGACTTGAATTTTATTGGAAAAACCCAAGTATATTGTGTGAAATAGTCTATTAAAACCATGTAATATTTATAACCTGTGTTTTGCTGGGGATAGGAGATGTCTTATTCACCAAACTAAGCATACCAGCCCCTTTCCTGCTATGAGTAAACAACTCTGCTGCAGAAAAAGGTTTTTTGGGGGAAGAGAGAGGGAAGAAGCTGCAGCGGCACTAGTTTTGTCCAGATCAAACTCTCCCCAAAGCAGGTAGGTGAGAAGGGCTCGAGAAATCCCGGGAAAATGAAAAATTCAAATCCTAGGAATCGAATCAGGGGTAGGAGATTCCACCYGTAACCTATCGGGAGAGCTACCCTCATTCTATCTCGTGGAAAGTCTTTCACTCGTGGACTAGGGTAGCTTCCTTCCTTTGGTCACAATGAACAATATCAAATGGTAAAACAGTAGTAGAATTAGAATCAGAAAAAGGTAATCATTTGTGCTTTGAAAGCTGACAAGAATTGCAAACCAAAGATCTACTACGTTTAAGACATGGAATAATATTATTCAAACTAAGAAAATCCAAACAGGAAGACCGGGATGTCCCAATCGATCATGCCAAACATCTCGAGCACTGGAGGTGAAAAAAGTGGAGTTGGTGACAGGATAGGTGAGAGGATATAGACGACTCGAGCTATTGTGGCGAGACAGCATCTGACCACTCTAGTAATTCTTCAACCCATTGGGATCAAATTCAATGGAAACATCATTATTAACAGAAAGTTTATGAACAAGAATGAGATTTTTAATGATGTTGGGTGTGTAAAGAATGTTGTTTAGGTGTAGGTTACGTGTGGTTGTTGGAATGGTGGAGGAACCCGATCCACGAACCGGCATAGGAGCACCATTACCAACAAATATTGAGCCAATGGGACAATTTAACAAGGGTTTAGAAATCTTACCTTGGTCGCCCGTGAGATGGTCTGTTGCACCCGAATCCATGTACCATTGATCATCAACCGGGTCCATGGTCATTGTCTGAAGTGCTTCGCCAAGCTGAGTTGGCTCAACGGGGTTAAAGGCGGTGAGATTTGGGCCAGGAGGTCTTGGCCTGACTTGCGATGTGCAGGTGGGCCGTGAGGTGTGGGCCAGGCTGGCATAGGAGATCCAGCCTAAGGAGAGGCCCATCCAGAGTTGGTGGGATACGGACATAGGGGTGGGCTCCAATAGGCCCAATTGGGCAACCGATTAGGCTGAGAGTTCCATGGCGACTGAGTCAACTGAGGCTGGCCTGAACCACGCCTAAGGCTTGTTGAAGAGGAACCGCTAGAACCGCTAGAGGAGTTATTGGGCCGCCTATGTCAGGGTCTGTTATTGGGGCGTCTTCTGTTGACATAGTTTGAAGGATCATGTGGTGGTTCTGAGGAAACAACAGCCATAGCAATCTGTGTAGACATGGTTTCCCGGGTATTTTGTCGGTGATGTTCCAACTCGAGCATACTACATGCAATCTCCCACGTGGGAAGACTTTGATTGATATACGAGGCCGCGGTGTCGTATTTTGCCGGAAGTCCTCTAACAATTTGAAGAACGAGCCTCTGATCATTAACCGGACAATCCACGTCATTGAGTTGACTGTCGAGTTCCTTGAGTTTTTGGCAGTAAGCTTCAAGAGACAGCATGGATTTTAATGTGAGGTTATTGAATTCATGCTCTAGGGCCGCCGCCCTAGAGCCCTTGTTGTTGAGGAAATTGGCTTTGATTTGAGACCAGGCTTCGTGGGCAGTTGACTCGGTTACCAAGACACGAACCAGTAAATCATCGGACAACGTCCCGTAAATCCATTGCAATACAATCGCATCAGTTTCAGTCCATGCTTCACGCTATGCATCAGTTTTGGCCGGAGGCGTCCTGTCAATGTGTGAGATGACTTTGTATCCCTTGGCATGTAGTTGAAATAATTTGACCCACGAAGAGTATGAGACCTTCGTACCGTCAAGCACCCGGACCTTGTGTTGAATGTTGGTCGCGGTGTAAATGGTGTAAAGGATCTTGGTGAGATTTTCAGGCTTGTCAGCCATGGATAGCAACTGGAAGGTGATGGCAGAGAAGAAATCAAACCGTGGTTTGATCTTCGGTGATTTGAGAAGAACGAGAGCTAGGGTATCGAGCCTAGCTCTGATAAACACATGCATTTGTTAAAATGCATTTCCCCAAAGATCCTCTTTATTCACAAACATTCGAATATAAATACAAAGGAGAAGCTACAAAATAGGAACTGATCTCCACTCATTTAGGGGGGATCATTTACCAAATAACAACCTAAAATAGATAAGACTAATTCTAAAAATGATACAGCTAATTTACAGCTAATAATGTGAACTTCCACACCCAAATCACGGACATATCATCTTAGACGATCCTTCGTTCATTCTATTTTATCCGACAAGCAGCATTGTGGTTTGTTGTTTGGTTGATTTATTTAGTCCAAAGCTTTCGTCTCTTACAAATGGGAAGATGGTTGTCGCACTCCCTGATATTAAGGTGTTACAGGGCCTTCTCCGGCCTTTACACTATTGGACTGATGTAGATTCACTTTTCAAATATCTAGAATCGTTCTACACCATATCAATGCAGGAAATACGGGAAGCTTGCTTTGAATACTTGAGCCTTGGAGTGGTTATATATGGTGTTGGACTACGATTTCTTTTGGGGTCAGCACATCACCATACTATTGACTTGTTCCACAGTGGGTCTTGCAACCATTTTTTTCAGGATAAGATAATGGGACACCTAATCGGTCTGGTTCAAGTAGATCAATCCACTGTTTCTGTCAAGGGAACTGGTGGGAAGCTTGATGATGTTCTCGAGTTAAGTTGCCACTCTGTGCCTTGGACTTCGAGAAGTTTGACTTCAGCGGCTGCTGGTTGGGGAGATGTTGTAACCAGACTGCCACAACCTCTGTTTTTTTCTACCCACCTTGAGGACAAGGTGGTTCTTTGGGGGCGGATAATGTCATGCATCGATCTATAGGCCCAACCCAAATATGGGCTATATATTCTAGAAGGGTATAGAAGGGGTAATTTGGTAATTCTAAATAAATTGATAGTATAAGTAGGAGTGTGGTGGGGAAAATAGGATATCCATGAAATATTGTGTGTGTGTGTTTTCTTAGGAGAGCTGTGGCCTCTCGAATAGCCAGAAACTGTTCCTTTTATGGTTAATTGATTTATCCAACAATTGTCCTTATCAATCACTCTATTTCAATTGTTTGATCGGCCCAGTTCATAACATTATGTTATGTAGAGATGAATCCCTCCTAGGGGTCCTAAATTTAATAGTATAAATGGTTTCATATTAAACATCATGGAATTTCTTCGTTCCTTTGTTTCACGTTCTACTGTGTTCATGTGATCAGATTTTGGATCTCTTTTTCGTTTTATAATGTTCAGCCCACATGCTAATTGATATTTATTTTTAGGTGATTGCTATATTAGATAAGATTAAGAGTGAGAAGACTATTCAAGATCCAAAAGTTGACCAAGATGAGTCATCCGATCCAAATGACGACAATGAAGAATGGGAGGATGATGATCCCGAAGATGACATCATCTACGTGAAGTAGTTGCTGTTACATGATCTTTTGCTTGTTGCTTCAGAGCTATGATTGTTCTACTTTTGCATGCTTCCTCTCGTGCAGGTCAGTCGACAAATTCTGAACGTGTGCAATGCATTTATGTGTAAACTGGTCTGTTTTACTTGTACATGAAAATTAAAAATCGATCATCATATTTGGAGGATCTTATTCTTTTCTGTGGTAGCACAAAATATTTATTGTAATATAAAATAATAAAAATTTAGTATAAAATAGAATTTTATTATAGCTACAATACAATACAAAACACTGCAAAACCAATTCCAATTTCAATGATTTACGGTTGTGGTTTTTGTGGTCCACCATTATTAACCACAAACTCAAATTAAGCTTCTACATATGCTCCTGTAGCCTTCCAGTTTTTCATCAAAGATTCCCAGTGGTAGCACCTTTAAGGGTTGTAAATTTTGGAATACATTAGTGGTAGCCTGTGCTACCACCAATTCACATGTTAGATCTGCTTTTGATATCCAAATGTCTTCAATTTCGAACCGCTAAAGAAAAAAGGGTAATACAAATAAAGAAGGATACAAGAAATAAATAGGGAGTCAAATGGTTTTTCTGGATCGTCTGAAAGTGGATCCATCCTAAATAAGCTCAGAATTCAACGGCAATTTGATTTCTGTAGCATCTTCAGCTCTATTTTTGATCTTAGATTTCAAGTCAAGCCTGTAAACATTTCTTATAGCATAAAAAGTAGACAAAGTCGTGGACGATTTGTGATCATTCGCTACAATCATCCAAGAGAACGTCAGATGCCTATGCTGCATAAAATAACCGTCAATGTCTCTTGCGATAACTTGATTCAACACATTCTTTATCACCTTCTGGTCTGTTTTGAAGTATTTCTTACTATGGCCTGATAACAACTGATGAGTCTGCTTTTACTTGTTCATGCAGTGTTGAGGCAGTGAAATTTACTTATCCAACACATTCTTTATCACCTTCAGTGGCAGCTCATGTTTCTTTTTTCAGGTAAGTTTTAAGATTGCATGTCTTAAAGAGTAGATAGACACTCTGCAATTCTATGTTAATAAGTATTTAGAAAGAAGAGGGTGGGAATATAGTAGTGATTGATATTCTCTTCCCTTATGACATAACATACATTGTGATTGATTCTATTTTATCATTTTTAGGTCATTCAACTTCAATATATGACACCCTGAAAAATACTTACCTTCATCAAAAGAGGCAACCTCTGAATCGTTCCATTAGGTTGTGGTTTGTTTATCTCTTAATAGTTTCATTAAGAGGCAACCTCTGAATCGTTAAGATGTGATTTTTGTTTGGCAAAAAAAAGGTCCGTCTCTTAATGGTTATATAACCCTCTGAATGGTTCTTGGTATATTTCAAGGATCAGAACAGAATTACATTGTTTCAGATAACACAATCCACCGAAAAGGGTTAACCAACCATTATCAAAGAACACAATCTACCAAAAAGGGTTAACCAACCAAAATGCTAGTGAAACACAACCGAGAGTTGTCCTTTGCAAGTCCTTAAATTGTGGATCTTTCTTTTCGCATTTGATACATGTGACCGTTTTTTCCAATCCCTGAAAGTCTAACACCTTTTTTTCTTTCGTTTATTCTTGGGCCTCCCTGTCTGTTTGTGATGTACCGGTGTAACGATGGGCAGCTTGATTTGGGCCACATATCCATGCAGTGAGTGGAGTAATCTTGAAACTATAGTCTTTAGACTACCTTCCAGTTCCATGTATGAAGCTGGTAGCATTTATACACCCACATGGCAAGCTTACATTTCCTTCATGTTCTGCCATGTACCATATTGTAGCAACCGCATGTTTACAAGGAATCCTTCTAATTCCCCATTTCCTACAAGAACAACTCTTGTTCTCAACATCTACAACACATTTTGTTGGGCAACTTTAGTTTGAATGGCCTTAAACACTATAAAACACGAAGGATCAAAGGTAACATTCTCAACTACTTGCGGTCCAAAAATTCAGTAAAAGTAAGAAATGCAAGGAATCGCAAAAAAGTGGTTTTGTGGCATTGTCGTGTGATTGTTTGGTCCTTTTGTAAAAGAACTGTAGGTTTGGCAATAAAGGTAAATGTGTTTGGGCCATTTTGGATCATTACCCCCCTTCACAAGCATTTTTAAATATAAGAGCATCTCCACTCCAATAGCTTTTTTATATTGGCTCTTTAACTATTGTAAGGAGTTAAATATGGAAAAATCTCACTTAATATAATCCATTTAAAATATGTGAATTGCATATTTTGCGGAAATGATAAGAGTTACATGTTTTGAGTGGGTATCATTTAATGTCAAGTCATCTAATTTAGACCGTAATGCATTGGATTCATAGGCATGTGACTCAATCTTTTTGTTAAGTGAAAAGTTTTGATGTTCACTTGAAGACCATTCCTTGAGTAAGCTATGTGGTGGTCTCGGTATTGCGGGGAGGAACTTATATGACTTGGACTTCGAGACTGTAGGTACTGTGGAAAGGAACCTGTGTAGAGATGGACTTTGGGACCTTTTGGTATTGCGTAGAGGGACCTATATCGGGTCGGACTCCGGGACCGTGTGTATTGCGAAGGTGATCTCTTGTTGAGTAGGACCTGAGACTCTGAGTATTATGGTGATGAATTCATGAAGAGTTTGGCATCGAAACCCTTGTTTTAAGGCTATGACTTAGTATATTTGACACTAAGTCATTAGAGGCATTTTGGGGATGAACTTGTATGGAGTCGGGTTCTAGGACCATGTGTAGGTGTAACTCTATTGTGTAAGTAGGGACTAAGGTTAAGGGTATTGCGGAGAGGAACTTGTGTGGGGTCGGACTCTGGAACCTTAGGTATTGCGGTGAAAATTTGAGAGGGGTTATCAGGTCATGACCTTAGGGTGCTACCTTATAACGTTGATGAATGACTTACTTAGTGTTTCTCCCCAATTAATGGAAGCGGGTCTCCCTTGTTACCGAAAGGTGTTGTTTTGGGTATTAAGTATTATCTGTGTTTTTTGTGACGTTTTGAGGATGGAGTGTTATCTATGATTTGTGGTTTTGGATATTGAACTTTATTCATGTTTTTGGGTGTTTTTGAATAATAGAGTTTTATCCATGTTTTCAGTGTTTGATATTAAACTTTATTCACGTTTTGGATGAGTATTTTGGGTTTGGTTTCATGTTAAATGGGTGTTTTAGTCACCGAGTTTTCATCACCAAAATAATGGGTTTTGGGAAAGATGTTACTTCTATATTAAATATATTTCATTTTGTAAATGGTGGTTTAAATAGCATTCTTTCAGTTTTTAACAGTTTATATTAACGATGAAAATTGTTTAAACTCACTAGGCAAGAAGCCCAACTCTTTTTATTTGTCGGCATGTGCATCAGGTCCTCCTTATTTAATGGTACTAGCGACATTGTGATGAGTTGAGTGCTAATTAGATGCACGACAAAGAGTTAGCTATTTGGGGGCGTTTTCCATAATTTGGAGATAGCAAATGTTATTGGGTTTTAGTAACACTCGTTCCTAACCTAGACTTTTGTGAATGATTTGGTTTATTAATTGTTGATGATAAATCTTAGATTGTCATCATAGGTAATCAAGTATTGACTTTTAGAGAGGAATTTATTTTGTATCTGATGTTTATCGGAAAATTTTAAATCAGTCGCTCTTTTCCAGATTTTTGGGTGTTACAGAACATCCTGTACACATATCTAACATACATCTCAAGGTTTCAAGAGGGAAGGAATCGATATTTTCTTTAATTCACAAAAGTCGGAACGTTCTATTATCTTGTAGTTCACAATTTCCATGGACCTCGTAGCTTCTGTCTTTTTCTTCTTAAGGTATGTATATGTCTAGCAAATAGGATTCCTTCTTTTTGAAGTACATTCTTATCGAGGTCTAAAATCCTAAGATCTAAAATTAAATTCTTAACAACCCGGAGACATGGTTTACTATCGATGTTGTGAACCAACTCTGGTAACGGGCTTGGATTTGTTAACACCCCGTGTGAACCTGTAGACACGATAACTTTTTGGGCAAATGTTGCAGAGATGATGGTGTTTTTCTTGTGAAATTTTGTAGCAATTTAGTCGTGTACTTGGAGAAGGAGATATGAAGGTGGGCAAATATCGTCGCTTGATGGTGTTTTTCGACGAACAAAATCATCTAGAAATAAAGGTTCGATGTATGCACAATGTGAACATGTTACCAGTGTTGTAAAATATTCTTTGCATAGATGGCAGAATGGCAGTTATGATCTCATACATTGGTGTCATCAGTTAATATTTTTTTACAGATTTGTTAAAGATAATTATAGAGTGTTAAAAGATAATTATGAAAGTAATGGATGTCATTTATGAGATAATTATGGAAGTAATCGGTTAAAATAGTTATTAATTAGAATTACTTTCTTAAAGAATCTTGTAAGAACCTCATTTTCCATTCTTAAAAGAAACAGTAAAACTCTTGATACTTAAAAGGCTAAAAGTTAACGTCCATTAGAGGAAGAGACTGATTCCAGACGTTTTTTCAAATCATGATGATTAAACTGTAATATTAAACTGTAAGGACCAAATATGAGGAAAATGAAAAATCACCGATACAAAAGAAATGTAAGTTACGCTAAAGCTTTATTAGTAAAAATTATTTTTGAAGTCGAAGAAATTGTATTTACCCTACCTATAAATACGTAGGGGCGTTTGGTTCACAGGTTCCGAAAAAATCTGATAGAATTGGAATGTTGAATTTTATTGACCAAATTGCATTTCCTCGTTTTATTCATTCTTTTTCACGAAAGAAATTTTCAAAATCTTACAAATTCCAAAAAAAAAAAAAAAGTTAACATTCTTTATCAACTACATGGTATTTTGATATGGAATGCTTTATTTTCATAATACCAAGTATGTCATTAACCCCATATACCATAATCTCATAAAACCCGATATAACCATCTTCGACCACCTCTGACCACTGTCGATCTGAATCACGGCCGACCACCGCCATCTCAACCGCCGTCGACCTCCACTGATCTGAACCACCGCCGACTACAATCGATCTGAACCATTGTCGGCCACCGTTGATTTAAACCGCCGCTAACCACCACCGATCTAAACCACTACCGATCTAAACCATCGTCGGCCACCACTGATCTGAACCACTGTCGATCTGAACCACCACCGATCATCACCATCTGAACCGCTGTGGACCACCACTAATCTGAACCACTATCGACCAACGTCATCTGAACCACCGCCGACCATCGACGACTACCACCGATCTGAATCACCCCCGATCACCAAAAATCTGAACAACCACCGATCTGAACCACCGTTGGCCACTGTTGATCTGAACCACCTCTAACCACCATCATTTGAACCACCACAGACCACCACCTAGCTGAACTAATGTCGACTATTGGCATCTGAACCACCGCAGACCACCACTGGCCACCGTCAATCTAAACCACCCCCGATCTGAACCACCATCGATCTGAACAACCACTGCGCACCACCACTTGAACCACTGCGGACCACCACCGATCTAAACCACTGTCGATCCCCTCCATCTGAACCACCGCATACCACCACCGATCTAAAGAATCTGAACCACCATGGACTACCACCGATCTAAACCACCGCCGACGGTTCAGATCGACCATCGCCGATCTGTATCACCATCGACTAACACCGAATTAGCTATTTTACATAATAAAAAATTAGCTATTTTCTGACAAATTTTATATCGATTTAGTAACGTCGTTTGATTTATGATTATATTTAGATTGTGTATTTTATATTATTTTACACATTAAATAATTATTTTATTAAAGTATTTTTAGTTTTAGAAAAATTTAAAATTTTCAAAAAAGGGTATTTTTGTTATTTACCAATATTTCATTCTAATTCCAAAGCTACATTATGTGAACCAAACAGACAAATTTCGTTTCTTTAAAAGATTCCATTTCAATGTTTGCCAACCAAACAATCAAATCTGACAACATTCCATGCAATTCGTTCAAAGTCAAATTCCTTTAACAAATTTCATTTCATCCAAAAACATTTTGTGAACCAAACACCACCTTATGTTATTGTTTGCACCTTGGGGATTCGACCAGCAAGTATAATATTTTTGGATGTTTAACTATTTTGTTTGTTTTAAAAAACTTTCATTCAGACATTTTGTTTTTTCCAATTTTTAGAA